GAGTTGTGCAACCGTCACTACTCTTTCAGAACATTTCCATCACCTCAGAAAGAAACTACTCAGTAGCATTTACCTCATCCTTGTTCCCCCGATCCCCTCAGCCTCAGGCAACCACTAGGCTTTTTGTCTCTATGGATTTGCCTAACGGACATTTCATGTCAGTGCAGTCATACAGTATATGGCCTTTTGTGTCTGACTTCTTTCACTTAATATAATATTTTCAAGGTTGTACAGTGTACCAGGACATCATCCCTTTTTATGGCTGCATAATACTCCTCCCCAAAGGCAGATCAGAGACATAACTTGTAAACTGTCACTGGAAGGGATGCAACGCTTGTACTAATGTGAGTAAAATCCCACGTGTTGTCAGGGCTGTTACCTACAGCCTTTGGAACTGGTAGAGTCCACCCATTCAGATGACCAGAGCCCTGACTTGTTCCAACTGTCCATTCCTGTCCTCGGAGGAATCACGACCCCAAATAGAGGTAGGCAGAGAAGGAAAGAAACTACCCTAGTAGTCAGTCTGTGCCATGGGAACATAACAGAAACATAAGAGAACCTTGGCATTCACTTGAGGGGCTGTATGTATGCTCTGTGTGTGTGCTGTGTATGTACGCAGTGTGTGCGCCACAGATGTGCCAGGGAAGGCAGTGTAGCTGTCTGCAGTGAAACTCTTGAAGAAGAGTTAACACTATGCGAAAATACCTATGATACAATAAGGGAAGAAGTGAGCATTTTAAAGCTCCTAATATATTCATTGATCCCAATTTTATAAACAAAGTGCATGTTGCATAGGGAAAAAAAGGCACCAGACGTAAACCAAAGTCATCTCTGGGAAATGGGAGCTCCTTAGTTTTTACTTCTTTATTTTCCACTTTGCAGGGACAGAACCTCCTATTGCTCTGCCTCCCCCAGGATCTTCTATTGAACCTCTTCTTTACCTTTCTTATCATTCTATTCTTAGGACCTCTCTTTATTTTAGATCATCCACCAGAGTTTTCCTTGGCTCTATAATGAGTTTTAGTGTGCCTGTGATATTTTAACACAAAGGGCAGCTTAACTCAGAGATAAACTCATAATTAATATCAGTTTTCAATGCTTTCATCACCTACTCAGAGCCACAGAGCACATACCATAGATTTATGCTGCCATACACATTTTAGAGGTAGTGGTACGGGTCTGTCCTAAAGGAACTTTCCTTGTAATGAGATCTAAGACAAAGCCAAACATCTAAAAAGTCTTTCTTCATGAGGCAGGGACAGCTCATTCACTGCTGTGTCCCCAGTGCCTAAAAGTAGCATTCATGTTGTAAGTACTCAATCCACATTTGTTGGAGGGATATGTGAAAATGTGTATGTGTGCATGTATGAAAGTTGTGACTGTTATGATGTGCTGATAGCTTCAGTAGGTGAAATTTTATTCTATGGGGCCACTCTAGCTGTTTCCGCTTTTTTTAAAAAGACTGTCTTCCCTCTTTTGTCATTTGCATGGTTTTATATAGTTGTAGTCATAGCCTTCATACAGTATGGTATTCTGCTATTTTTACTGCCCATTTTAGCAAAACATATTTCCTTGATGTTCATACTTTATGGTTTTTGATGACTGTATAATATTCCATTGAGTTGTATTATAAGGTACCAAACTGTTCCCCCTCATCCAAAGTTTTCCATTTTCACTAATGTGTAGAAAACACTTTGAAGTGCAAATTTTTAAACCTGAATTCCTAGGAGCAAGATGGCAGGATCTTTATTGCCTTTGATACATGCATCTGCCTTACCTACCTACCTACTTATTTGCTTATTTTTACCACTTAAACCAAAAAGAAGTAGTCAATTATGCACACTGTCCTGGGAGTTGGGGGCCATGGGTTCAAGGTTTGGAGAGTTGAGTGTGACTCTGACTGCCTGTGCTGGGGTGAAGGTGGAGGTGGGCTGGTGCAGCTGTTCTGTGAGAGCTAAGTGAGGAGCACACGGAAAGCAGGCGCATCTGAAACACTGGAGTGGAGCAGCTGTGGCAGGACTGGGGTCTGCTTGCATACGGAGACATAAAGGGGAGGGCGAGGGCGTCAGAGGTAATGGAGCTGGGATGCCAGCAGAAGACGTTTCACGTGAATTCTTAAAAAGGAATGTTCAGAGAAGGAGTTGCTGGGAAACAGGGGACAGATGCCTAGTTAGGTTTTAAATGTGTGGGGCTTAAGCTGCCTCCAGGTGGAAATGTGTCTTGTAGCTGGAGAGCAGGCTGGGAGCTTGGGGAACAGCCCAGGAAAAAGGAAGCCTTAGGGTTATTGTAGGCTGAGCAGTGGAGCCTTGGATGGAGGGGAGGTTTCCAGGAGAGCAGAGGGTGAGGGTTTCAGAGGGTGGAGAGCAGGTCTGTTGAAAGGGGTAAAGGGGGAAATGGAGAATGGAGGCCCAGGATCCAGCAGCATCTTAGAAACTGGGAGGGAGGTGAGTGGGGGTGGGGTCCGCAGGAAAGTCCGAGGGATGAGGACTCCCCTGGCCTTCCTCATCATCCCTGACCCTCAGAGAGCAGGTCATGGATGATGGGGAAGGGCCAAAGTTTCTGAGACCTTTCCTCCAACACTGCAAACAGAACTTCCAGGTGAACATATACAAGAACCCAAATTACTGGCATCTTTCAGTTATCTGGGCTAACAGACCAGTAGTGCCTGTGGATAATGAGCTTTATACTGAGATGTGTTGTGTGATTTTTTTTTCCCCAGGGATTTAGGATAAATAGAATTATCCTAATTTCCTGTCACCAGGCTTTTCCAAATGGCAGCACCCCCTTCCCTTTCCATTGCCTAGCCCACTGTGGGAAGTCAGTCTTATGACTGATGGCTGGAGGCTCCTCGGCAAAAATTACTTTTCCTACAGATTTTTGGGTGGTGGCTTAAAGAGTCTTTTTTTTTTTTTTAATGAAAAAAAAAATGTAAGACCTCTTCATTGCTTGAGAAAGGAAGGGATAGGGGCAAACTCACTTGACCGGGGTCCGAGGGAGGCTGAAATCCATGGATTGCGAGACTCTCCAGCACATACAGGAGTTCATTCTCCAAAAGATGAGAAGCTTGGCAACTGGGAGGCCATGGCAGGCACACTCCCCTCCACTGTTAGATTGGGTTTTGCCACTCACCAGTGTTGAGCTTTCGAGTATGTTCCTCAACTGTACCTCATTTATTTGCTCATCCAGTAAAATGGATGTTGGGTTGTTGGAAGACTTGAAAAGGTTACATTTGAACATGAAAGTACTTGCTTATTCCAGGGTTTCTCATGAGGGATTCAAAACTGTTGGCTGCTCTCATCGTCAGCGTTGTCCTTTGATACACCTGAGGGGCCAGTAGGTTTTGTGGGCTTTAGGGAAAGTGCATGGGGCACGGGGCTGTTGGTTAGGGTTGGTGCTCAGCCGACTGTGGCTGTGGCGGGTTTGCTTGCTCATTTCCGCCCGTTGAGACTTGAGGGTGGGATGTGGGTGGTGAGAACCTGGTATGGGCAGTCGGGTGGGTGGAGCTGTGGGAGTGCCTGGCCTCGCTGGGGGTTGATGGGGGCTCATATGGACGTGCACTGCGTGGCTCGGCCGATGGCTCCAGCGGCTGCTGGAGGGGCGCGTGCGTGCGTGTGCGTGTGTGCATGCGTGTGTGTGTGTGTGTGTGTGTGTGTGTGTGTCTTACAGTCTGGCCAAGGAGCCGCCTCTGCGTCCTGACCTGGTTCTCGTGTGCTGGCGGCTTCGGAGGCAGCTGCTGCGCCTTTCGCCAGGCCTCAGATGTGGTCGGCTCGATTTCCTCCCCGCTGGCCCCTGGCCGGGCCGCCACCGGCTGCTCGAGGCAGGGGCTTCCGTCCGGAGAGCTGGCCGCGTTGGCCACAGATCAGGGGGCGGCGCCCGGACTTGGCTCCCCGCCCCCACCCAGCACGCATCCCGCCAGCTGCCGGGGTCGTTCCCGCGGAGGATGGCGCTGCTGGGGGGGGGGAGGGGGAAGCGGCTTCTCACGGGTGCTGGGTGGTGGGGCTTTACCTTGGACTTCGGATGAGAGCACAGTGAGCTACGGAGAAGTTTTAATGGGCAGGGAACTTCAGGCTCAGCACCCCACCTCACCCAGACCCAATTTTCCCCTTCCAGAGTGCACTCTGCCTTGTAGGATTTTTCCTACTTTGTCCCTTCGCCCTCCCTGCGTCCCTCCCTCCTTCTCTCTCTCACTCACTGTGTGTGTGTGTGTGTGTGTGTGTGTGTGTGTGTGTTGGGGAGATGGGTAACACAAACAACTTTGTAGCAACAAATAGCAAGAAGAAACTTCATCCACAAATTCCTCTTCCCGAAGCCCTCTTCCAGTCTTTGTGCATAGTGTGTGTGAAGTTTCAGGTGTGTTGTACCTACTCTATTCTTAGACTTTACCCCAAATAAAATATCTGATGCTTCAAATGAATTCTGGAGACTATGAACAAGAAAATATTCCCATTCTATACCACCACTCCATGAGCATTGTTAACATTTCTGCGTATTTTCCCTCGGTGTTTTGTGTGTGTGTGCACAAGTGTGCGTCGTGGACAGAACTGAATTCTTAAATTGGGCAATATTTTGAATCTTTCATTTTTCCACTTCAAATAGTGTATAAACACTTCCCCTAAAAACCCTCAGAAAGCATCTATGAGTACAAGTACATTCTTGTTTCTTTTTTCATTTAAGACATATCCCTGTGTTTTTAAAAAATCTTTTTTTGTGTGTGTTTGCTTATTTATTTTGAGAGAAAAAGTGCAAACGTGAGCTGGGGAGGAGCAGAGAGAGAGGGAGAAAGAGAATCCCAAGCAGGCTCTGCGCTGATAGCATAGCCCGCAACAAACGCTAGGCTGCTTGGACATCCTGGCACTGGGACTCAGGAACCCTGAGATCGTGACCTGAGCTGAAAGCAAGAACCGGTTCCTTAACCTACTGAGCCACCAAGGCACCCTAAATGTCCTATTTTTAAATATATAATTTTAGGCAGTTATACATGTACTGATGAAATAGTATGTATTGTCATTTTTCTTATATGTTATTTGGGTGTCATCCCTGGGCAGGGGCCATGTTTATCTTCTCTGTATCCAATTTTAGTATATGTGCTGCCAAACTGAGCACTCATGTATTATTTGAAATGTATACTTGACCTAGTGTTTTATGTACGTTAAACAGATAAAGCATGATAATGCACACATGTGAAGTACTTACCCAAGATAAAAACTAGAACATTGCTAACATCACTGAAACTACCTGGGTGTTTCCCCTATACTCCTTCTTTAGCTCCAGAGGTTACCACTCCCTTGAATTTTGTGTTTATCATTCTCTTGCTTAAAAAAAAGAAAAGTTTTAATTACATACATTTAATTAAATTTTCTACAATACATATAATTTTATTTTTTTGATTGAGCTTTGTAGAATTGGTAGTCTATCTATAGTGTTTTGAGACTGACTTTTTAAATTCTTGAACCTAGTATAGTTTCTGAGATTTGCTTGTGTTCCCATGGTTCATTTGTTTGCACTGCTATATAATATTCGATTGTCCCTCTGTGGTTGGTGGGCACTTAGAATTATTTCCACAGTTGGGTTTTTATGAGTAATGCTGCAGTGAGCATTTGTGTACATATCCGATGCATGTGTGCAGTTTCTCTAGGAGTGGAATTGCAAGACGATGGGGCATATGTATGTTTGACATTCAGAGAAACACAACAAACCTTTCTAAAATGGTTCTTCTGGGGCGCCTGGGTGGCTTAGTCGGTTAAGCATCCGACTTTCGCTTGGGTCATGATCTCGCGGTTCGTGGGTTCGAGCCCCGCGTCGGGCTCTGTGCTGCCAGCCCGGAGCCTGGAGCCTGTTTCCGAGTCTGTGGCTCCCTCTCTCTCTGACCCTCCCCTGCTCACGCTGTCTCTCTCTCTCTCCTAGAAATAAATAAAACATTTAAAAAAATAAATAAATAAATAAAATAAAATGGTTCTTCTGTTTTGCCCTCTACTAGTGGTGTATGAGATAAAAAAAATTCCTACTAAACCCACCAGCACTTGGTAAAGTACCCTTTCATGGTGCTTATTACATACCTGGTACTATTAAAGGTATTCTTCAGCTGTTAATTTTTTTTAGTCATGACAACCTTGTGAGGTTAGGTACCATCAGTAACCCCTGGTATACAGCCGAGGAAACAAAGGCACAGAGAAGTTCACTTTTTTTTTTTTTAAATGTTTTATTTATTTCTAGGAGAGAGAGAGAGACAGCATGAGCAGGGGAGGGTCAGAGAGAGAGGGAGACACAGACTCTGAAACAGGCTCCAGGCTCTGAGCTGGCCTTCAGCACAGAGCCCGACGCGGGGCTCGAACCCACAAACCGCGAGGTCACGACCTAAGCGAAAGTCGGACGCTTAACCGACTAAGCCACCCAGGCGCCCCCAGAGAAGTTCACTTTTAACCCCAGATTTACAGATAAAGAAATGAAACACAGGTTAACTAACTTGTGCAAGTTCACATAACTAGTAACTGGTGAGGGCAAAATATGAACTAAACAGTCTTTTTTCCTTCATTTTGAGATCTTGTTCATTTTATTAAAAGGAAGTTAGAATAAGCTAGATTCCGATTAACCAAGTTTGTACTTTAAGTGATATCTTAGCATCTTGCTGTACCTAACTTGCTGTAAACTAAAGAAGTATGTTAATACATACATGCAGTAACACTTAAGGTGAAAGAATGCATATTTATATATATTATATTCCAAGGAGAGGTTACCATGTGGAAGAAAAGGCCTGAGACAAGTATTCATAAAAGAAATAACATATTCTGTGGACATTGTATCAGTACTTATTTCAAAAATAGCCAGTAAAGGGTGTCTGGGTGGTTCATTCTGTTAAGCGTCTGTCCCACCTCGGCCCAGGTCATGATCTCGTGGTTCATGAGTTCGAGCCCCACATCGGCTGTCTCGCTTGCGCGCTCTCTCTCTCGCTCGCTCGCTCTCTCTCAAAAATAAACACTAGAAAAAACCTACTTAAAAGACAAAATATTTTTTTAAAAAAATACCCAATGAGACTAGGAACGAATGGACATTGATGATTTTTCTTTAGTGTATACCAGCAGAATTAAGCTAAACTAAATGCTATATAGTGACTATAAAATGGAGTCTCATGGTGGTCTTATTTTGTATTTCTCTGATTTGTTTATTCCCCATTTTCTTTTTGTGAAAAAGAACTAACATAATACTTTAAAACTATTCCCCTATTGTGACATTTTAGGTATTTGTAATTTTTTTTTTTTACTGTTAATGCTTCAGGGGAAATCTTTGGCACATGTAACTTTTTTTATTTCTTTGTCTTATTTTGTTCACATTTCCTGAAGTGAGATTAGGAATACTTAGTGGTTAAAAATTGCTGTACTCTTCTGGATTGCTCTGTGATCTTGGGAAACTTTAGCCACCTCACTAAAGTTCTTTAGTGTTCAGGGTCCTCATCTGTGGAGGTACATCCCTATCTTGTAGAAGTTTATGATGATTGGAGGAAATAAATGAGTGGGCAGTGATTAGCATGATACTCAGCCTGTCTAAAAGTGTTCCAGCAGAGTTTTGCAGACTTTTTCTAGTTCCTCTTCCTTTCTTCCCTAAAACCACATTGATTACTGTTGGGTCAAAGGGCATGAACAGTGACGAGCCCTGTGCTTCTGCCAGATCTGGTGAACCCAGGGAATTAGAGCTGAGGTCATCAGGTCTAATTCAGCTTTTTCCCCAACCATCATCCCAGCCATTGAGAGATCTGCTGCATCTGTATCCAATTTGTAGTGGGGGAAAAAATTAGATTTTAAAGTGTTTTATTGATATGTTCATACTAACCACAAGAGCCACTACCTCCCCCCGCCCCTCCCCCCGCCGCCACCTCACAGAGCAACAACCTTTGCTAATACATGACAGTCTCCAGAAGTTAGACGTAACCCCCCGAGATGTGCTGTTTGCAGAGAGAGCTTGGTGTGGGGAGTGCGGACAGGGGACTGGTGAGGTGTATCCACACCCACACCCGCAGGTAGGCGGATGTGCACACCTCCTGACATGGCTCCCCTAGAAGTCTCTCTCCCCACTCACAGATTTGTTTCATCAGTAAATCCCGGGGAGAGGAGAATCCTCTTAAGAGATGAATAATTGATCACCTCTAGACAGAACGTGCCATAAATACAGCCCCTGTGTTATGAGAGGGCTGGGGGAGGGGAGGAAGGGCTTGGCTGCCGACCTCTAGGACGAGGGGGAAAGGGTGGAGCTGGGAAGGCCAACCCCCTGAACAGCTGCTGGAAGGCAGGGAGCTGAGCTGCTGGCTGAGGCGGGAAAGCTGGGTGGGATCTACTGGCCAGCTGGGTGGGGAGGAGCCACCGCTATCTTGGAATCCCACAAGAATTGTTCTTGGAGTTCCCACTGTAGAGGATGCACCCCAGCCCGGTCCCGCCTCCCAGCCACTGGCCTTTGTTAACAGCAGACTTCTTCGTCCTGGCTGAATACACCTTCCCAGGCACGTTTCTTCTTACATGGTGTGTGAGTGCTGAGAGTCAGCAGAATGGCCCTCCGGACTCTGTGCCTCTTCTGCCTCCTCCTTTCCTAGAGGCCCTGAGATGGTGTGGTCAACGGAGACTTTGATCTCTCAAGATAGTAGTCTTTATCTTCCCTCCTTCCTTCTGTTTCCCTTTGATATGGGATTGCCGATTTGGTTTCAGTGTATTGATACTCTGAGAGCCAGGAAAGACTTGGAAAAATGTAGTATTTTTCTGCCGCTCTCTCTGTGTAATAGACAAAATGAAATGCTTGGGGGTGGAGTTCCACACCTCTCTGGACCCCCTCAGGTGGGGAGGGTGGGCTGTTGTGGTTGCATACCTGCAGATGTCTGGGGGACCAGCTTTGGGAAATTGGGAGCAGAGGAAGAAGTTGACTGTAAAGGGGAGAGGTGGGAGGGACCTCGGGGGTCCTGACCAGGTGCAGGGTATGGGGACCAGTCCCAATAGAGGTCCCTAGACCGCTGAAGGGAGACCTGGAGTCTCCTCAGGGTTAGAATCGTGCCGGGTTGGCAATTCTGGATGCACTTGTTGAGTCTTCATGAGGTGGGGTGAGGGACTAAATCTCTTCTTGGATCTGAGAAGGGCATTTACTCTCTCTTCTAGTAGCAAGCCCCTGTTGCCCCCCTGTTGAGGAAAGGGCACCCCCAGCTTGCACAAGGCTGAGCCTGGGATGGGTCAGAGCCTTGCTGGTCACACTGTGAGGCAGGGAATGGACAGGATAGGGTGGGGTATATGGATCCCAGTAAGGCCAAGGCAGGTTTTGTACCTGGAAAGAGGCCATAAGAAGGGGCCCACTTTTGCTGGGCCTTTCTATGGAGGGCAGGGTTGGGCCAAGCTGTTCCAAGATCAGTTGTTCAGGTTCCTAAGGCATCTATGGCAAAGGTATTCCTGATGGCACTGGCAGCCTCACAGACCTGTCTGTAGAGTGTGTGCGTCATTGACAGGTGCCTAGTAGAGGAGCAACCATCGGCTCTGCCCAGAAACTTCTCTCTCAAAGTGCAGAGGTGAAGAGGCTGCTGGCAGCCAGTTCCTGGGAGGAAGAAGCAGCAGATGTTCTTGAACATATACTGAGGATTCTCTGCCAGGTTCTGAAGGTGTGATAGAAGCTTGAGTACTGGAGCTTAGAGTGTACTTGGTCATAGTCACAGGAAGAGATCACAGAAGGTGGCCGTGCATGGTGATTGTGGGACCTGGGTAAGACCCTGTGGTGGGCGGGACTGGTAAAGGAGGACTAGATCAGGAGGCGCTTGATTCCATTTCTTGTCTTAGCCCTTACATTTAATCATTTGTTTCCATCACCGTGGTTCATCCTCCTCTCCCTACTGTTGCCTTAGTTCAGGCCCTTGTCATGGTGGCAGTAGTCTCCTATCATGTAGGCCACTGGCCTTGTAGCCTGCAGTCTGACTTCTACAGGGACATTTGATTGCCCCTCCTAAAAGGTAAATCAGCTCTGTTTTGTTTGTGCTGCAAGCCACACACCTGTCCTCACCACACGGTTGTGCTCTACAGCTTAACTTTTCCTGGGGCCTGCAGGCCTTCTCAGTATCTGTGCTTTTCATATGCTCCTCCCACCTC